ACCACTAGGTTAGCTCTCGCCAAATAACGTCATAATGTTTGCTTACACATAACCATAGACGATACAGCACCCCCCTCAGGTTCATCTTGGCCTCTTAAAATAGTTAATACCCTCACAGTGGGCGAGCTATGTTGGTTTGCGTACCCTCCAGCTAAGTTTTTCTTTTTGCACACATCCACAAAATGTTGACACAAGCCTATATACAGCTATTTAGTAACAAAGTCCAAATGTGGTTATCTTAGTTGTAGTCTGTGCACGATGCTTGGGGTTTTTATGAGGCTCTGTTAGTTCAGGCACTATGCACACGCAATTAGAAGTGAGAAGAAAATCACAAGCATGGGGCCATAAAAACAGGCTTTGCTCTGCGTAGTCAATGAAGGGCAAAGTCCTCTCCAAAACTTTCAAGCAAACCAACCGTTCAACCGTAGCATTCACAGACTTTGACTTACAACCTTATAGCTATGTATTCTTATTTATGCACAGCTCCAGCTATATACTGCCTTGATATTACGCTGACACAAGCTCTCACCGCCTAAATTTGTGCACCATTAAAAATGTCAAGCCATCTGTTTGCATACGCCGAGTAATCCTTATCTCCCAAATCTGCGCTGAGTGAGAGTATACTGTACCATAGCACAGTGGTTTGAGGTTTGCCTTGTGTTGTATTGACTTTAACCCCTACCAGCTGAGTTAGCTCAGTTGGTACAGCTCTCAGCCTAGACTGCAGAGTGTCATGGGTTCGAATCCCACCTAGGGCAGCTCTTCTGTTTTCCTTGGAAAAAAGAGCTATCCTGGGTGTAGTTGACTTGTTTGTTATGTCTTTGCCTTTCTACCTCGTAGTTGATACATGACCTAAAGCCCTTGGGGCCCCTATGCTTTGTTAGTCCACATGCAGTCTGCACACATGATAGAGAGTGACAGGTAAGGCGCCATAATGAGAAAAGGGAAATGTTTGTTCTTGGCTTCTATTCAAGAAGACTGAAGGCAGTGTCAGAGATCCGATTTCTGTTTTGTTATGCGCTAAACAATCGACATGGTCTGTGGAAACTAGGCATTAGATACACCTATGCGTGGCATAGTGTGACTAATAGTCAGGACCTTACTTGGCTTGCTGTGGCTCAAAACCCAAAAAACATGTTGGTTTTTATAATAATATCAAAACAGTAAGTGAAGGATTTAATCATATAAATTCAGAGGTAGCGCTTTCTTGGTGCAAAAACTGAGGAGAATGCTTCTTTCTCTTAAAAGTTATATAAAGCAAGCAGAGCATCTTTGAGAGTAAAAATTATTAGTCGCTGATAAACACGTGGAGGTGAGGCAAATACTCAAAAAACTGATATTGCCAGGAGATGCAGACTGCAGCTGTGAGTTCTACTGAGACGAGATTATGATTATGGTAATCAGAATTGTACTTTCTTTTAGCTGTGCATCCTGGTGTTGCTCACACTGAGTGTGGAGATAGCAAATGGAAACCAAGGTAAATGTTTACCACGGAATAAATTATTCATGAGAACTGTATGTCGTAGAAAAGTACTTTGATTAGCAAGCAGAACAAGCCTCTTTTACTACAGTAGGCGACTGCATGGCATTTTTGGCGAGCGGAAGCGCGCTTACAATTGGCATGAGTCACTCTTGTGTGTGCACAAAACAGTGAGATACATTGCACAGGACCAAGTAGGCCGAAACGACCCGAGCGCAGTAGACAATTCGAGTCGAGTCAAAAACAGTCAGACGACAGCGCGAATCAGGCATAATCCGGCAATCTGATTGGTCTTGCAGGAATAGGGAACAAGTGGCAATGTAGAAAAATCTCTCGCTGGACTGTGCAGCAATACTCGATAGCTTCGGAGGTGTTGCGTTTCCCCTGATTCCGCTCGATTCAGGCAGCATTATGAAAATGTTGAAATCCCGTTCGGATAAAAAGAAGCGCGTAATGCTGGAGCATGCGCAGTTGGACGACGTACGGGTACATATATATAGAAAAATCGCGCCGTTCGGACCACTAGGTTAGCTCGCTTCCGCTCGCCAATAACAGATGTGCTGTTGTGTAAATATATGATTGACGTAGAGCAGTCAAAACTGCAAAATTGTGTACGCATGTGTGCGTCATACTTGAAAAGCGCTCTCGCAGCAGCACAAGCAGTAGTCTTGTCACCGTACCTTTCAACAAAAAATGAGCCTAAGGTAGCAAGGATAACAAAATAGCACATCATTGACAGCTACCATATCCACGTTGTTTTGTAAGAAGGGTCTGGGGATAATATCAGTGAACAGAGACACCGTATCAGCGCAAGTGTGCTTTGTCAAGCCGAGCTTTATGTGTGGTAAATGTACCGGTATTATAAAAGAGCTTATTCACAGCATGCCGTGCCTTTTACATAATAAGCACATCTCCAGGCACCTGTTTCTACCCAGCAGGTTTGCATCCTTTTCCATAACTTTGTACGTGTGCATCGGGAGTAGTGATTGGCCACATTGTATATATGAGCCTGCTGCTGTGTTATTTTTATGCCAATCACACCTAGAGTCACTCAAGGAATGATTTTACGCAATCTGCAGAGGGCAACAAATGACACACGATGATTTGAATTCAGATTTTTTTTGAACATGCATGTAACTCAAGCGATAATCACAGCACTCAGCAGTCCCAAGTCGCAGGGGTATTGCTGGGGGAAGTGGTGAGTGTGGGTAGACAGCTATTACTGCTGACTGTACTCATTGTTCTGGGCTATATACGTGGTTTATGGTCTTACGGCTAAGTCGTGAGTGTTACATAAAGCATAGGGTAGGGATTGATCCAGGTGGGCTCAAGAACACCTTATTACATAACAGAGGAGAGCAGATAGGCAGCTCACTGGCTATGGCTGGAAAAACAGCAGGCATTAATTGAGGACTTCTAATGCAGTGATGCATGCAGGCAGTGAAAATTGTGCACGTGTAATCGTGCCTACCTCATAACCTCATGTTTTGAAGTGTTAAATTATTACAGTAGTTACTAGAACGAATGCCAGTGAATGCAGTTTGGTTTATGACATTGCTGAAAAATGTCGATCTTAACATTTGGAGAGTGATTTGGAGCAGTTTCAACTAGAAGCTCACAGGCCTCTATATACACGTTTAGGCCAATTCCTGGGGGCGGGGAAAAAGGAACCCTATGGGGCACAAGCCCCCTTAAATAAACCCTGCAAGCTGTCAATGCCTACGGATTCTCTTTGTACTTTACACCATTATGAAGACTCCCCAAGGTGCCCTGAGCCAAACCACCTTATTGCATACGCCTTGCTACTCTTGCAGGCCTAGCCTTAATCTGTACATGACCTTAAAGCCCTGGGAGTCTTATGCATGAGCCCCAGGCGTTGTTAGTCCATGCATTCTGCACACAAAATAGAAAAACACAAGTATGGGGCCATAAAAACAAGTCCTGGTGAGCATATTTAAAAATTAAAACTACAAAACAAGTACAATAGTAGAGTTTGTATTAGTAATGTTGGTAGACGCTGTAGCTGAGCGTAGAGTTAGCTACTTTCCACCAAACAAACTTCATAACTGGTGCTGCTCTTAGATTAATGCTTTCGTTGTAGCCTACTACACTCTGTACTTAGTCATTAATAATGGAGACTTTGAGTTATGATCCAGCAGTTGATGACACTGTTAAAGTTTGTTCGAAGTTCACTTTAACTCTAAAGTAAACAACCTCTATAAATTAGAATAAAGGAAGCTCCACTGTTACTGTTGCATAGCTGGTATTAGCTTAGCTCAGGGGCTGCGGTTACCAGGGAAGCTTAGGCAACGACTATTATCTCAGGTAAAAGGTGTATCACATTATGTTTGTTGGCACGCTTAGTTTTGTTATCTTATTATACACAAAGGTGTTTATATAGATAAGCATGTTAGGTTGTTAATAGTAGTGTTTAATCACAATATTAGGGGAGTACAAATTGAGCTGAAAATTGAAATTATTGCACTTACCCTCGGATGCTCTGAAGTCTATAAGCATTGATAGCAGCCACTAATAAGTTTAGCAAAAGCAGAGAGGCGAAGCGAAATTTCTGCATTACTGAGCCATGCACACGGCAACTGTGAGTTCCTTCAGCTACTTTAACAATTGGTTAGCTATGATAATCATATTTAACTATTTCTTTCAGCTGTGGATACTTGCAATTCTCACACTGAATGTTGCTGACAGCAACCCAGGGCGAGGTATTACTAATGTTGACCTTGGTGCAATAGTTTCATAATGTTGGTTGTAACCATAAAGGCGACGTAAAAATCAACAAAATGACACCCCACATCATCATCCAGGCCCAATAGAGAACGAGTGCATATCTGTGAGATTAAGCTACATATCATTCAGTAGCAGAAGCTTCTATTGCCTAAGGCTTTTGTTCCTGTAAAACTATGCAGATTGGATATGTATCCACACCATCATGAATCCACTGGGCATACCTTGCCATGCTTAGTAGCTAGGGATTGCAGGTACACAGACGGCACCTTTCACATGAAGCATTTCCTCTAGTATTTGAGGCGCCTTTCTCACTCTGCAGCAAAACTTCCATGTCCTGCAGGATTCAATGTTCCGTAATTAGACTAATTCATTTCGTTATAGATCCTTCAGACCAAACGAGTCCGACAGGTACTCAACATTATCCTACTGAAACAGCAGGCACGCCTGGCCCAGTTGGTCTTCCCTACCAAACTGGCCTCCAGGATAATGGTCAAACAGGTGAAACAAGCCAAGCAGATGCTGGCCACAATGGTTTACGTGGTCCCTGTATCATTATAAGAAGTAAACAATATAACCAACCAACAATTTATCCTATAAACTGTGCAACCAAGATTTCAAACCCAACAACAAGACCTCCAACAACACGTCCTCCAACAACACGTCCTCCAACAACAAGTCCTTCAACAACAAGACCTCCAACAACAAGACCTCCAACAACACATCCTCCAACAACAAGACCTCCAACAACAAGACCTCCAACAACACGTCCTCCAACAACAAGACCTCCAACAACACATCCTCCAACAACACGTCCTCCAACAACAAGTCCTTCAACAACAAGACCTCCAACAACAAGACCTCCAACAACACATCCTCCAACAACAAGACCTCCAACAACACGTCCTCCAACAACAAGACCTCCAACAACACGTCCTCCTACAACACGTCCTCAAACAACAAGTCCTTCAACAACAAGACCTCCAACAACAAGACCTCCAACAACACATCCTCCAACAACAAGACCTCCAACAACAAGACCTCCAACAACAAGTCCTCCAACAACACGTCCTCCTACAACACGTCCTCAAACAACAAGACCTCCAACAACACGTCCTCCAACAACAAGACCTCCAACAACACGTCCTCCAACAACAAGACCTCCAACAACACGTCCTCCAACAACAAGTCCTCCAACAACAAGACCTCCAACAACACGTCCTCCAACAACACGTCCTCCAACAACAAGTCCTTCAACAACAAGACCTCCAACAACACATCCTCCAACAACAAGACCTCCAACAACAAGACCTCCAACAACACGTCCTCCAACAACAAGACCTCCAACAACACGTCCTCCTACAACACGTCCTCAAACAACAAGACCTCCAACAACACGTCCTCCAACAACACATCCTCCAACAACAAGACCTCCAACAACAAGACCTCCAACAACAAGTCCTCCAACAAGAAGACCTCCAACAACACGTCCTCCTACAACACGTCCTCAAACAACAAGACCTCCAACAACACGTCCTCCAACAACAAGACCTCCAACAACACGTCCTCCAACAACAAGACCTCCAACAACACGTCCTCCAACAACAAGACCTCCAACAACAAGACCTCCAACAGCACGTCCTCCAACAACACGTCCTCCAACAAGACCTCCAACAACACCTCCAACAACAACACCTCCAACAACAACACCTCCAACAAGTCCTCCAAAAAGAATTTCCACGACAAGTCCTCTCGAAGCACACTCTTCAACAATCATAACACCCACAAAAAAATCCACCCTTACACTGCCCATAATGTGTAAGGAGAAGATCGACAGTCTAGTTCGCTATCCTACTACACTAGCTCCAGCCAGTGGAACAGTGACTGTCACTACACAGTGTGCTGACAATGCTCACGTCAGAACTGGCTCTAGTCTGAATGTCACATGTACCTCAAATGGTAGTTGGTCTGGTCATATTCCTGTGTGTGAATGTGATGAACGACATCATGTAACCACTGATGATGATGGAAGAGATATATGCCAAGGTAGGCACCCAAGCACATTTTGAACATAAAAGTATGTTAAACCTGGGATTAATTTAGTCTGATTAGTAGCTTGATAAGAATTATATTAAAAGAGCGATTGCACGGGTTCTGCATACGTGCTCTGTATTCTGCAGTTTATTGAATACTAGCAGCTAAGTATTCAAAAGCCACACCCTTAGTATAATACATGAGGTGGTCAGCCCTGACCCTCCAGTCTTCCGTTCTTTTGCACAGTCGGTGGCTTCTATATATAGCAATGGCTAATCATCGATCCACCGTGGTATAGCTAATTTTGGCTGGCTGTGCGTAAGTTCTCGTTCTCCTGTAGGTGCACACTCGTGTTATAGTTCCTTTAAATAACGTAGTCAGGGGTATGCTAGTAGCATTTGTTACTCACATCATGGATACTATACAGTATCTATGCTCACATGTTCGATACTGCACAAGAAACCCTATTCCCTATCTCAGGTGACAGCCTAATGTCCTCGGTGATATCTCTAGCAAGTGTCTCGGGAACTCTACTCCTAATCCTAACTCTTGCTGCCATCGTCATCCTAGCTTTACTACGTCTGCGCAGGGAAAAACCAGAATCAACATATGATAAGCTTTGGGTGCACGCAAACCAGAGCTCCAACACCTCTATAAGACGCAAAAGGAGAGATGATGAACACAAGAACTCAACTACCACAAGCCAACTACTGAACAGTCACAAGGCTAGGCAAATTGAGATAATACGAGAAAACGATGCTTTCCAATGCGTAACGACGTTTACAAAGAGTGAAAAAGAACATGAGAAAATTGTACAACGTAGCATTGCCTCACCCCAAACCTCCACGAAAGATGAAATTCAGCTAGGAAACGGAGAATGCTTATATGACGTCACAGGTGTAGTTCCTACAGCACACACAGAGTCCGAGGAAGGAAGTGTTTTGGTCCAGCCAACCACCAAAAGCAATGAGCAAAAACAAGATTCCGAATCCATTGAAGAAATATGCATTGACATTGAAGGTCAAGACCCCAGAGAGGTTGAAATAACAAACTCTGCAGCAAAAGAGGGTGAAGATGGAAAAGCAGGGACCGAAACCCCTCAGGAAGCAGGTCAATGTAGGGAGTACGATGTGCTTGAAACGAGCAGCATAATAAACAAGAATCCAAAGAGCACTAAAGATGTCGAGGAGATATATGACGTCATCGTGAATCGAAGTGCCGCTGTACACGCCTCATTGTCAAGTGTTGACCCATATTACACAGTGTGTATTGAGCCAATTATAGTCCCATGTGAAGCACATGCAATGTTTTCAGACCCCACCACTCCAGAGGGGCTGATCTCCACCGATGAGGACGACACGGAAAGCTCTGGGTATGAAGAAGGAACCAAATATGGCAGTGCGAACCAATCAACTGGCAGTAGCACAAACCTCACTGAGTTTGACTCCATCGAGGATATTTATGTCGAAGTTGGAAGCTACAGCCCAAAGAAGAAGAGAGACACAGACTCATCAGAGACAGAAAGTGAAGATGAAGAAAGTATGAGCAAACAAGATGCCCCAGTGGTAGCTCAGAGTAGTGGGCACGACGCGAGCCACGGCACAAATAAGCAAATGGATACTGGGAACGTCGAAGAGATTTACGATGTAATTGTGAACCAAATCACTACTAGAAACGAGTCGTCATCACCGGTTCCACGCGTCCAGCCATACGCTGAATGCACCGTGCCAACAACGAAAGTCCCAGGTGTCGATGCATACGCTGTGTGTGTGCTGCCAGCTCTCTCAAAAAGGCCCTGTCCAGTTGACGAGGATGCCCCCGCTGCAAGAAATCAATCAGCAAAGCATGTTGCAAGTGGTGATCACGCTTATGACTTGGTTAAGTGAGCTAGACAGTATAATAAAACTTACATTTTTTGAACACCTGGATAGAGTTAGTGGTAGAAGTATTAGTTCGAGAATAAAATTTTACTACCAACAACTTGCAGTTTTTGGTCATTTTTCAAAAAATATGTTTACACTCTATACATAATCAAAAGAAAGTTAACACGTTAATTGCAGCATTATAATTTTTTAATTTGTTTATAGTCTCGATAGTTCGACTTGGTACTCACCATTTCGACCCCAGTTATACTCACTAGCTTGGCCATCGGTGGAAATGACTGTAAGGACATCATCATCGCCATTAATTGCTCGATAATGAAGGGTTCGGTGGTTACGTCGACCCTCACATTCACCAGGGGCACCGTAACACACTCTTCCAAGTACCTCTTGTTGCCCAGCAGTCGGAGGATAGCGCAATCGTCCAACAGGTGGGTTAGAAGTGCTCTGCGTCCAATCTGGACCTCGTCTCACAAAATCTTCATTTCGAGGCATTCCGTTAACGCTAAACGAGTGCGTAATGGCTTTGCTGCCGTATGTGACAGTGGCAGTATGTGCACCACCACAGACTGGAGAAACAGTTACGTTATACAGAACACATGATTGCTGGTTAAAGTCCGGTCTCCGTGGAGGTACAGCTCGACAGCCACGGTGCTCAACTACACGATTTTGATAGTGCTCAGCTACACGACTGTGACGGTGCTCAACTACACGATTTTGATAGCAATTAGTAGCTGGCCTTAACTTTGCTTTCATATGTGGCATTGTAGATGCAGGTGCTATTGATATATGGGCAGTGTCTAATTCCTTCCTTGATTGGCCGTACCTAACAACAACTTTTAGTGCAGGGTGTTTGCCTGATGCAGAGAAACTTCTCTTCCCGTCCTGCCATCAACGAGAGGACCTTCGGCTGTATCACACGACACTTTGAAAACATAGCTCGCATTCAAACGCACACACCCGGACGGGTTAACCATCTCTAGACCTTTCGAATCTGCAACCCTAAAACCAATACCCCCAATTTCACCTACAGTCAACGTCTCCTTTTGAAATTCAAATACAGGTGTAAATAATACAACATTAGCAAAATCGCTATTTTCCCACTCTCGTCCCGCAATTATTCGGAGCTGATTAATACTCTGAAGGGCTGTTAGAACCATTTCAGTATCGTTGATACATTTGAGAGCTTTGTTGACAAGGCCAAACACAGCCGAAATATGTGAAATGGTCACTTCGTGAAACAACTTGTCTGCGCAGACCTGTTTAAAGTCTTTTTGACAAACAGCCTCGGCTTGTTTCAAAAGAAAGGAGCGCCTTGCTTCAATTGCATGAACAAGGTTATCAAAAAAACAATTTATATCGGCTTTTACGACTTCCGGATGGCCAGTTGTGGCAGTTTCGACCCTCTTGATCTCCTGCAGATCGTGTCGAAAGATGGCAAACTTCCGTTCAACGTCAGACTTTAGAGACCGCATTTCTCCATCAATCTGATTGCGAGCGTCTTGGATAAACTTGTAGTTGTGCTGGCGATGCTCGACTAAGGTGCAGTCACGACAAACAACCTTCTCGCACGTCTCGCAGTACAGCTTCAGAACTTCCGCCTTGTGGACAGGGCAGTAATGGAGTCGCTTGGACGACAATTTACCCACACTCATTTCCGCAGGAGAGTAAACGTTGTGCCCGTTATAGATTTTAAGCTTCTTGTGAAGGCCAAGCCCGCATTCACTGCAAAGTTGTTTTTGACAATCGCTACAAAAATGCGAGAGGGGGCCGCGCTCTCCACACTCCCCGCAACATTGGGTTGTGGTTTCACTCGGCGCGTTACCCAGCCTCTTAGCTTCAACTTCATGCGCCGCTATAAAATCGGTTAGGAAAGTGGTCAACCCGCCGGCAGGAATTCTGTGGACTTTGCGACATTTTGGACACGTGACCTGACCTGTGGTGGCTGTCTTCTTGAGACACTCGAGACAGAAGGTGTGGCAACACGGCAGGACTTTGGGCTCAGTAAACAGCTCCAGACACACAGAGCACTTGTGTTCCAGGCTGAGTCGATCAGGTACTCGAGATTTGGCCGTTCCACGACCGAGTCCCCTCGCACCACGCCAGACATTTTCGCGCCGGCGCGCTGCACGTCAGTCCGCTCGCGCGTGCGCCAAACGGTCCACTATGGAACGCCAAACGTGCGGGGCATATATAGAAGTATGTGGAGGAAGTAAGCTTGGTCTCTCTGGAATGGTCATGAGCGAAGATAGGAGCTAATGCAAATTCCGAACATATTACGTGGAAGAGCAGATGCACTAGAGCCACAGTAGTCTGCATAGCCCCGGTGAGAACCATACTAGCTAACCATCAAACTGGCAAGAGTATATAGCTACATGTCTTTCCTATCTGCCCGGCGAGAAAACAACGGAGTTATGTGTTGGGCAGCATAGTTATGAAATTTCATTTCAGTTGGGGTAACTCAAAACACACTATGTGTAACAGTAACATCGCCATCGGATGTGTATACATAGCTACATACGTACCGACATACCGCACATTTATATAGATGACTAAGCGTGTTTCGCTCGCCAAATGGAGTCTCATGAAAGTGAGAGCTATGAACACTGAGATACAACAAACATTTTTGATTATTATGCCTTATTGAGCAGTTCATCTGTTCAAACAAGTCATTACTTATTACACACAAGAATTAGTGCAACACAGTGAAGGTCAGAGACAAAGTTCAATTTCATATTCATCATCCTTGCCCCACTTGTAATCAAAAGAACCCCAGTGTCCTCTAAAACAGTCACCGTGTGCCTTGTACTTATACTACTTTATAAGGCATAGTTAGCGACCATGTCATGTCTATTCCACCATCAAAAATGACTCAATGTCTCACAACTTAGCATATCCATCTTCATGCCTGGTACTTGATTAAAGGCACTAAATGAGGAACTGTGTTTCCCTGGTCCTATTCCACCATCATAGCAGGCTTTATAGCGTGTACCTTCTGCAGGGTAGCCCTCTTCATAAGCTTTAGTAGGAAATACACTTGCACTACATTGTTGCTCGGTCCAATCGGACCCTTTCTAACTCGATGGCCATTAGAAGGCTCTCCTTGCACTGTGAAAGTGCGTGTTGTCTCCCCATTCCCATATCTAAATATGGCAGTGTGCGTACCACCACACACAAGCTGTATACTAACCGTGTATGTCTGAGAATTTGTCTCAGTTTCACTTTAGAAGCAACAGGAGTGTGAACAATAACACCAGTTGATGCATGAGAATGGACACGCTTCTTCACTGCACGCTTTCCTCCGGCATGAGTAGCGCTTTCCCTTTTTGTTTCGCCATAATTTCTGCGGCAATCCTGAACGAGCATGCATTGAACCTGCCCTTTGTTGCAAAACCCATCCCTGTGTCTCAGATATATTCTTAATAGCTATAAGACTACTGATAAGCTCCTTTTTGGCTTTGCCATACTGCACCACAACCTCCAATTCTGGAAACATTCACCTCTTTGTAAGTTGACATTCTCTCCTGATCTAGTATCAACCAACGATTCAATGGGGGAACACTCAACATTTACTACAAAAGACGAGCCCAAAATAGGATTTTCAAGAGGTAGTAAGATCTCCATCTCTTTTGATGGTGAATGAAACACGAATAACGGCCCCAAAAGAGTCCACGATGCTTTCTTCTTCTTGAAACTTGGAGCTGATGACACCATCCTCACAAATTCCCTACTATCCCACTCCTTTTCTTTCATCTTTTTCAGCTGACTAATGCTCTGAAGTGAAGTGAGAATCATCTCACTATCACTGGTACACTTACGGGCTTTCTCGACTAGTTTAAAAACTGCCGCGACATGGACAATCGTAACCTCGTGAAATTCCTTGTCCCCCCAAACCTGCTTCAGGTCTGTCTGACAAGCTTCTTCTGCTTCTTTCAGAAGAGCACTACGCCTTCCTTCGATTGACCTAACAAGACTATCAAAGTATAAATTAATATCGGCTTTTACAACTTGAGAATGCCCGGTTGCTGCGGCTTCAATTTTTTTATTTCTCGAAGATCAAGCTTTAACGTTGAGAGTTTTTTCTCAACATCGGTCTTCAGGGTTGTCATTTCCGCTTCGAGTTGTTTGCGGGCATCTTCTAAAAACTTGTAGCTATGCTGGCGATGCTCGACTAAGGTGCAGTCACGACAAACAAGCTTATTACACGTTTCACAGTAGAGCTTGAGAATTTCTCCTTTATGAAGAGCGCAATAATGAACTTGACACGATTGCAAGGTAGCAGCGTTTACCTCGGACACTGGAACAACTCTATGTCCCCGGAACGTTTGAGCCGTTTGTGAAGCTGAACTCCACACTCATAGCAAAGATAATTCTGGCAATCGCTACAAAAATGCGACACAGGAACAGCCTGCTCACACTCACCGCAAAACGTTACTTTATCTGATTTCTGAGACGCAAACCCCGCCACTTCAACCTCGTAATTGGCTATGAAATCAGTAAGAAATTCGGGCAACCCACCCGCTGGGATCTGGTGAGATTGACGACATTGTGGACAAGTGACCTGACCTTTGGTCTTCTCACTGGTGGCTGTCTTCTTGAGACACTCGAGACAGAAGATGTGGCAACACGGCAGGACTTTGGGCTCAGTAAACAGCTCCAGACACACAGAGCACTTGTGCTCACTCGCCGACGGCTGCGATATGGGGTCGGAAGAGGAAGACGACGCTTCGTGTGGAGGCAAAGCCAAAGGCCAGTCCATTTTCAGACACCACCAAACCCCGCGGGGGGCCGGGGGGAGCTGTGGCGCAATGCGCATGCGTATTATAGACGTCATGATTGCATAATTTTGTCGTTTGTGTGAGCGCGTCCACTTTTACTGAGCGTCCTTCTGAAGTTGTGCTGACCTGTGGGCCAGATTTGTAAAGGTAGAGCTGTGCGGCCAGGACAGAGTCATCTGGCGTTCACTCTCTCGTCTTCCTCGTCTCGTTGCTAGGTTGCCGGCTGTAGAGCGTGGCGTCGCGTGTGTTTGGACTGCCGGAGAGCGTGTGTTGGGTGTGGTCCACTGAACTACTGAGCCGAGAACTGAGCGAGTGTTGTGTGTACAGTTCTCTCGAAGACCAGTCATCATGTGAGTCTGATCTGTAGTAACGAACTATCTCCTTTCTATCTACCTGTAGGTCCTAATACCATATGCTACGTACGTAGGTGTGTGTAACTACATATAGCTAGTAGTGCCCAGTTGAGTAGGTGTACATACGCACCTTGGTTTCTAGGCACGTGATGTGTACCGTAACCGCTTTGGCATGAGATTATACAGGGCCCCAAGTGTTTTGGATCGTATGTGGCCTTGCCCTGTGATTAGGGAACAACACCCACACTGCAGGGTGTACTGTTTCACAACAACTTAATATCCTTGATAGCTGGTGCATTAGCAAAGCTACCTGTGTCTGTCTATGTTGAGAGGGACCATAACTAACTAAGTCAGTGAATGGGCGTTGACAGATGCTATACGTGGTTTCTGTGTTAAGAGCTTCGCATAGTATGGTGATTTTAACCACATAATGTATAGGTCACTGAAATTTTGTACTTACAGCAGTAAAATTTTTCGTCTGTAACACGAAAAACATATTTTCTGTCTTACGGTCGCTTTACGTGAATTGTAGGTGTTATACGTATATTGTGCATGTACAAGTGTATTGTCTTAGTGTTTGATGGTGGTGTTTTTGTTGCAGGACGTCGTATGAAGCAACTGGTGAGTCTCGGATTGGCAATCTGAGGGGCCAAGTGAATGAGGTAACGCATGCTTCATACACCTCTTTCTCTCACTGTGTTATATGTACTACGTGCTGTATTACCAAAAAAATGGGAAATACTGTGTTGAGTTTGCATGTTTCACAAAGTCCTATGACCTAGTTGAGTGAGGCTCTCTCTCTTGTGGAAAGTACATTAGTTGTTCGTTTCTAAAACATGTAGTGTAAGGTGTGTTCTGTTGTCTAGTAGCTACTTCCTTGTTGAGGGAACTGATACTCAACTAGTTAACCCTCGGCGCGCATGCGCAGCGAGGGTTACGGTAGTTGTCCCGTAAGTGTGTCTGTCATTCTGTCATTCTGTCTGTTACCATGTTTTCTGCCACCGCGCGCACGAAATCAGGTAAATAGCGATATGATCGGGTTCAGTGCTACACTGGGTTGATTTTAAAAAAGGCGATTTTTGTAAAACTACTGCGTTCTAAAGTTATGGCGTGAAAACCAAGTGAACAAGCCAATATGGTAATTAGCACAGGCTTACCTCGACTGCGTCCGCGCGCTCTGTGTATCTTGAAGGCACAAGAAGTCACAACGAAGGGCATGTATCGACTCCCGCATGCAATCTACTACTGTAGCTAGCCCGTGCCAGACTCTCCGCGAGCTACTAGCGCGATACAACGAGTAAAGAAAAGAAAAGCCCAGCCCATAAATTAGTGGTACCGCGCATGCGCAGTTCGCCGAGGGTTTGCACTTTAGTGCTTTTCATTACTTCAGGCAGTTGTTTCATACCGGTCTACGTGGATATTATAGAGAGTAGAATTATGTGCGTCTTAACGAACTGGACCATTGTGCTGAAGTCGCCAGCCTACTGCGTGACAAACACAATAGAACATAGCTGGTTGTCAATT